GAGTGGGTTGATTTTTACACTAAGGCAGAGGAAGGTCGAGCTGAATTAAATAATTTATTACGCAAAGTCGTTCAATATATTTTTTTTATCTACGTAGCACAGTGCTACATCCGTGCATGACGTCACTGCAAAAGAGCCCCCTGCCCTTAATATTCATGCCTGTGTGGAAATTGACAATAATGCACAAGAAGGTCGCACACTCCACATGCCGCACGCCTTCCCCTCATTAATAATCATGAGCGGGTGACGTCACTCCACATGCCGCACCTCTCCCCAATAACCATTAGCGGGTGACGTCACTCCACATGGGGCAACCCCCCCCCCCCCCTCATTAATAATCATGAGCTGAACAATTTTTCTATTGAATATTTCTGATTTACTGCAATATACACCCGTCCTTGGACGGGCAAAAAAGCTAGTACACAGATATGTACACAGAGACACAGATACATACACAGATACATACACACAAATACACACATATACGTACACAGAAAAATACAGAGACTAACTACTACCCGGCTTTGCCCGAGACTTGGATTCTTGTCTTGGATCAATACACGGCCTACGCGGAGGGTTGGGGGGGATGCGTGACGTCAGCAGGCACAGTGTAACGCTGCCGCATGCGGGTGACATACAGATGTGATGTCACCGCTCACTTGTGCAATATATTATATCCATTATTTCCCCCCCCCCCCCCCCCAAATAAACTAAGTATATTTTATTTTTATACGTTTTACATTGTGTACAGTATGGAAGCTAGCCACATGGCAAATTAAAAGTTTGTAGCCTAGTATATTATGTCCATTATTTCCCCCCCCCCCCCCCACAGCCGCGTATTTGTGCGGGATACATGGCCTTCGCGGAGGGTTGGGGGGGGGGTGCGTGACGTGATCAGGCACACTGCGTAACGCTGCCGCATGCGGGTGACATCACAGATGTGACGTCACTGCTCACTTGCCATGCAAAATATATCCATTATTAAGCCCCCTCCGCCCCCCAAAATACAAAAGTCTATGTTTATACTTTTTGCATTGTGTACACATGCCAAATTTCAAGTTTGTTGCATGTCGGGAAGTATGCTAAACATTTCGAACAGACACAGATTCACAAATTTCCCTTTGATATATATAGACTAGCGTGAAGTACCCGGCGTTGCCCGGGGGAAAATATATTTTAAAACTTCTCAAAACTTAAAAACATAACATACAAATGAAAATAAAACTTTCATCATTACCTCATGAATTAAAATGGAAAAAAAAATTACGTTCGCGCACCAAGATTAGATTCGCGCAAAGGAATTGAAGGTTGTAGATTTGTTTAGAATCAGCCTATTCCTGTTTAATCGATACCACAAACGCTCACCAGATATCGATTATCGCCAATCCTGTATGTGGGTTGACGCCACACACTTCATGGTCGTTCCCCCCCCCCAAATACAAAAGTATTTTTTTATACTTTTTGCATTGTGTACAGTCTGGAAGCTACCCACATGCCAAATTTCAAGTTGCATTTCGGGAAGTTTGCTAAACATTTCGAACAGACACACATTCACAAATTTCCCTTTTTTCTATATGGATACACAGATATACATACACAAAGAGACATAAACATAGATTTATATACATAAATATACACTTAAAGATTGTGGGAGCTAACGGCCCCCTCCTCTCCCCCCTCCTCCTCGGCCACTTCTCGCCGGGCCCCCGCCGATCGGGTGATCGGCCCCCCCGCACCAGCGCCCTCTCTGAGGGACATGGCTAAGTGGCTGGCTCACCTCCGCCCGGAGTTATCCCACACACTCCCCACGTACACCACCACTCATGCGGAGGTGGCTGCGTGCACGCTCGTGCCCGGGTAGGCGCACCTTCCCTCACCACGGTTCGCGCTAAAAATAGCCGTATGAATATGCACGCTCCCCTCCCCCCTCCTATGGGTCGGCCTTAATCGGCGGCTGCAGCTGGAGCGTGACCACGCGCACGCGCCCCTCCCCCGCTCATGTGGGTGGCCTTAATCCGTTGTGCAAACGCGCACTCGAGCCACAACGACGGCCATATTGATTATTAATGGCGCTCCTGAAGAAAAAAAACCCTGCGTGGCCCGGAGCAAAATTCTCAGCAAGCAGCGCCTAGCCTATCCCTATTCACTCCCTGAGTGTACCCTTACTCTACTTCTCACCTCGCGGACGTACTCATGGTGTCGCACGGACGCGGTGGGAGTCGGAGGGACGAGGGTACAAGAGGTCTCTGTCTGGGGTTGAGTCGTAGCAGCACTCGCCAGCGTCCCTCGGACGCTCCGAGCGGCTGTGACTTCGACCGGGCAGCTCAACGGCTGGAGGAGCAATGCCCAATGTGTTTTCCCTCTCTCCTCTCATGCCCTCGGAATCCAAAAATCTAGGGTTACGTGGTGTTACCCTGTGCGGCCAATCGGGCACCTACCTTTCGATTTTAAACCGATGCCCCGCCCCTACCTGGAGCGTTGCTTTCCCTTACGCCTTGCTCCATTGTCTACGCGCCCGTCCTCCCGACCCCGGACTCAACCGGTTTGATCGGGGCGGCCGTCCCGCGTATACACAGCTTCAGTCAGTCCAGGAATTTTCCTCCCACCTCCTCTTATGCGCTGCTCGCTGGGTGTTTGCCCCCGAGGCCCTATCTCTCTGTGCTGTGAGTGTTCTCATTGCAGTTCGCTCGGTGAGCTTCGTCGTGCCCATACAATTTTAAGCTATTTCACGGGGCCGCAATGCAATTCGGCCTGGGGGGGGGGGGGGTCAGCCAATCTCCTGGCACTGGGAAACCGTGGGACATCCCTGTTAGGGGCCCCTCGGGTAAAAACCTATGGTACCAGGTGACCCCCCATGAGACCTTACGTGGGTGCATGTGTGTGTTTAGTGGGGGTGTGCGTGCGTTCGCGTGGAGGGGTGCGAGGGGATAGCAGCGCCGGTGGAGTTGCTCCGTTGCTGTGGCACCACAAGATACATACACGTAAAGATATATACACATAAAGATACATACACAGAGATATATACAGAAATACACATAGAGATACATACACAGAGATACAGTAGAACGTTGTGTACTTCGAGCGAGATTTGGCAGGCAGTAGTCGCGTGAGGTTTCGTTTTGCCCTTTTCTTTGGAAAACATATACTCCTGCATAAGCTGTGCAGTACAGGGAATCATGTAAAGTGTTCTCCTGCTTTGCTGCTGTTGATGATTTGAAACGATGCTGAGCAAGTTTTTGGTGCTGCTGGTGGTGGTATTGGATGGAGGTGGGAGTGGTGTTGATGGTGGTGGTAGAGGTGGCGTTGCTGGTATTAGCCGTGTTGATGGTGGTGGCAGAGGTGGTGATGCTGGTGGTTGTAGTGTTCCTACTATCAGTGTTGGTGGTCTCAATTAGGGTTGCCACTTTTTCCACTGCAGACAAAACCTGGTGCTGGCTGAGACACACAGGGTCCATTATCAGCATGAAATTGTAATGATACAGCTCGCCACAAAACCAGTGCTAATCAACTCCTGCCACCCGACGCACAGATGCCAACTCCTGGACTATCCAGGCCAAAACCTGCACAGGTGGCACCCCTGGTGGTTCTGTTGCTGGAGTGACCATGGTGTGGTCACGAGCCCTCCTGCCCGTCCTCATCATCATCGCTATGTCCGAACCTCTTCAAACTTCACTTTTCTCCTTCACCTGCAGCGGCCAGAAGCTCTTCGCAAAGGTCTTGTGAACACATAGCCCTTTCCCAGAGTGAGCCAATCACCTCTCCAGGGTGTCTACATTGCCCTGTCATTGCACCATATTATTCCAAAATGTTTTGCTCCTTGTGCTTTTGTCCAAGGAAACTTCAAATAACTTTTTTCCTGAATAATCTTCTTCCTTGAACCGACCTGACATGGAAAGTTGGTCCTGCCCTACAAAATTTCCGAATGGATTCTTGGCCTCATGATGTCAATAACAAATTTAGTCAAATTTGTAAAGAACGAGAAATATAATTTACACCACTAAAATATCAGTGCAGACTGTAAAAACCACGAGCTTCACACAACATCAACACAGACTCGTGCACACAGTATTCAGCCCTCTGAGTCTTTGTGCATTATGAATGGTTGTTAAATTCTCAATATTCCATGAAACAACGTTGCGCCAACATTAGCCTAATGATTCCAACTACATTCTAACGTTAACCCAACAGATGGTTTATTGGGATGCTGTTAAGATTCTACCAGTGAACATGAAAGTTGGGCCAATGACGAGTGCATTTAGTTGAAACCTAAGAGTATGCATTTAGGAAAGCATGCTTCAGAATCAGTAATGTGTTTTCTCGGTCACCCTTCTCGAGCAGGTCGACACAGATGGAGACATCCATTGTCTAGTGGGCACCTCCCTCATCCAAGGGACCCCAAGCCTGGAGTTCATCAACGAGCCAGATTGGCCCGTCCCTTACTGCACATGGCCCGCCAACTTCGATGCCAACACCTCGCAATCGTGGACGGTGTCTCAAACCATGCACAGCTGGGAAGGGTGGTCCGAGAGCTTCTGCCTGCTCGGGCCGTACGGCACCACTGTGGCCCGGTGTTTGATGGGGGGAAACTGCCTGAATTTCACAATAGTCGGGCGCTTCTACATGCCGTGGAGTCCAGGCCTGCATGTCGTTGGGACAGACGATGTGATGGAGGGAGAGGAGGTGGCGTTTGTGTGGAGCGCGCCCCTCAAGAGTGAGGCGTGGTCCTACCAGCTGGAGTATGTGGGTGGCCAGGCGACGGTGTCCTCCCAGTGGCACGTGGAGCTTGACGGTGGCGAGACGTATGAGTACACGGCGAGCCTCGCATTCTACCTGGCAGGATTGTACATAGTGACGTTGTCGCTGCCTGGTGAGTGCACAACGTTGAGCCAATAGTTCCAAACACATACCAATGCGCCCCAACGTTGCATGTTTATTGAGGATAACCCCTCTGTTACCCATTCAGGTGGCCCAACGGTGACCGACAGCTGTGAGGTGCGGGTACAAACTCGCCTCCTGCGCCTAATCACGCTCTCCAGTGGCAGCAGCCAGCCTGCGTCACTCTGCCCGATGAAGACGCCCCTCATCGCCTCATTCATCAGCACCCCCTTTCCGCTGGGGCTCGACCACTTTCTGCGTCTCAATGGACCCGACTGGCATGACTCCCTGGGCCCATCGAGCATCCCCGGCCAGTTCTGCAACAGTCTTGCTGGGGTGGACTGGAACAGCGGCGCAGACGCCCGTGTGGCTTTCCCTCCATGATGGTGCCCTGCCCCACGCCGGCTCACTCAGCCTTGGGACCTCCGACTTCACCCTGCGCAATGGCATCAGCACTGCCGGCGATTTTTATGACGTCGCCGGGGCTCGGTTGCTGGGCCTCGGCAAAACAGCCACCTACACGTGTGGAGTCCACGCGCTGGACCTCGCCGGTGGTTCCTATGAGGACATTGCCCAAGGCCAACGGTGGGGCACCATTCCTGTGGGGGGGGTGGATGCACTGCGGCTGGTGCTACTGCTGCCCAACGGGCTGGTGTATGTGCTGGAGGCAAAGATATCACCACCTTCGTCCTGCTTCTCATTCAGCCTGTGGGTGATGATTGACACGGCCGGACAGCTCTACTCACGGCTGGGGGCGCCTCGACTCAATGACCTTCTGCTATGGGGGCCCATGCAGGTGCTTCCCTGGTTCGACAGAAATCCACGCGCACCTATTGTGTGGTTCACACCGGTGCTGGCGCCGTGGCTGCAATGTGCCTACACCTTCCACGTCTCCTTCAGTGGTGAGGAGGAGCCCCTCTCGGCAAGCAAGTGGATGCTGGACGATGAGGTTTACGTTTCCAACAAAGGAGCACCTGCGGAACACTTGGCATCCAAGTACTTTCCGGGGCAGCTGTTTCCATTCCCGCTTCACAAGGCCAATGGCTTCGTCCATTTCTGCACGTTCCCGAAGTTCCTGGGCTTCTGGGTGAAGCTGCACCTGTCGGTCGATGAGCTCTTGTTCAATGATGTTGCCTCCACGCTCGTGCGCCTTCGTCCCGTCAGCCACTGTGGGCTTCCTGGAGTCGCTGTCGAGAGGCCCCAAGCCTCCAACGGGATCCCCACATGGCCTCGCAGCGTCAACGTGGATCTCCGGGCCACGGTAGGTGTGGTCTGCACTGCCATAGTGCAAGTGGGGCACTCTTGGGAAGTCAGGAGGGTGGAGAGGGGTGCTGATGGGTCTATTATGCTGACAACTGTCGCGCTGCCACTGAGCATCCAGACCAACAGCACGATACTCAGCATCCCGCGCCACACACTGCCCTACGGAACCTACAATGCCATCTTCTCGGTCAGAGTCTCCCTGGATCGAGGTGCGTTGGGACAGGGCTTCATGGAAAATTCTGATTCCATTGATCTGAAGGTGAAAACACTTGCATTTTCAGCAACAATCATCTTACATTCACTTTTTTAAAAGTTGTACACCATTATTACGAATATATATTTTTGGCTATTTTCTGTACATGTGGCCTATAACCCAGTGCTGTGAAGGCAACAGTAAGAGTTGATGGATCACACACAGATTTGGTTGTTGTCGAGCTGGAACGGTACCCTGGTTCACCAGGTAGTAAAGCAAAATATATGGACTCCACCTGTTCCATCTGTATAAGATAGAGCGTTTTCCCCTTGCACCATGGGTTTTCTCCTGATGCTCCAGTTTCCTCCCACATATAAACAATCATCATTAATTGGCTTATAACACCTTCAGATATAGAGAACCACAGAGCTTGGGCAATGGTTGGTAATGGTGGCTCATGGCGTGGCGGTAGTCCCCCATCGTGCCACTGAGCCATCCTCTCTCTCTACGAGATGCTGTGTGGTAGCAGTGCAGCTTTACATGTTGACATTATTATTCATTGATGCTGTGTGTAGTGGATGTGTGTTTGTCATTTCAGGAATATGAATGAGAATCCTGTTTTTGTGTTCCGTTGATCCGCTTGGCTTCTCTCTCACCATCCCACCCCTGCTGGCGCAGATCGATCGATCAGAACTAGTGGCCTCCATTGCGGGCGGTTCATTCCGTACAGCGCAATGGGCGCAGCCGCTCCAGCTCGACGGCTCGGCCTCCCACGACCCCGACGAGGCTTCCCCGCACCACCAGCTCAGCTTCGCATGGCTGTGCTCATGCAAAATCTCCGAGCTCAACGCCATGGCAGCTGCAGCGATCGATGCCTCAGCCGGCGTTGCTTCCAATCCCTGCCGTGTGGCCTCCTCTCCAGCACCATTGCCTTGGGTCTACTCTACATCACCGACGCTAGACATCGCAGCCCGGCTACTCATGGCCGATGCAGTCTACCATTTCTTGCTCGTCGTACGCAAGGAGGGACGGGCCGAGGTCGCAAGTGCCCGGCAGGCCGTGAGGCTCACGTCGGCGAGCACGGTGCCTGTTGTTGAGCTCGTGTGCATTCTCAATTGTGGGCCGGCCGTCAACCCCAGTGAGCGACTCGTCCTCTCGGGCAGATGTAATGACTGCAACGAGACACCCGAGCGACGACTTGGATATGAGTGGAGCCTGATGTGGGTCGCTGCCAGCGCTAGCGGCGACGACACCACCGCTACCGCCACTGAAGTCCTTTTCGACTGGGACAAACATTCACTCACAGGGTGCCACCGCTCATTCCTCTCGCTTAATCCTCATGCCTTTGCCGACTATGTGTCACTACCGGGGCAGCTACTGCTCCAGTTAAACACCACCTCCGCTGATGCGGGCAGGAGCAGCATCCACCGTTGGGCGTTCGTCGTCAACCCTATACCATCCGGGGGCTCGTGCAAGGTGCGCCCGACAGAGGGCACCGCTTTGGTCACCTGGTTTCAGGTCGCATGCAAGGATTTTCAAAATCACCACCAGCCACTTCGGTACAAAGTCTTCTCTTGCATGGGCATCCCGTTGACATCAGTATGTGACGGCACAATCATCTACAGTGGCTACAACCCATGGTCTCCACAGTTTCTACTGCCTGGTGGCACACAGGTGCTCTGCATTGAGGTGTGGAATGCTGTGGATGCCTACACTACGCTGTTCCTCAACGTGTCAGTCTCCAAGCAGCCAGATACCAGTATAACAATTCTCGACCTACAGAGCATGGTGCTGGGCAATGACTCCAAACTGGTCATGATGCTGAAGGGAGGAGATACCTCTGCAGCTGCCTACTTAATCTATCTTGTCGCAAGCGAGCTCAATAATGTGGCCAGTAATATGGACGATGCACAACAGACTGCATTGCATGCACGGCTACTCGGTGGCCTCGAGAATGTGCCCCTCAACAACAGAGATGACATCCTGTTGGTGTCAGCCGCCCTACAGAAGGCCACAATGGGAATTGGGAACCTGGCTGCTGGGCAGTCACTGGAACTGTTGACGAAAACGGTGACCAGACTGAGCAAGGTTAACAACGCCATTCACTCCCTCCTCTCTGGATTTAATGAGCTAGAAGCCATTGGCATTGAGCGTGTGGGCACGGCGGTGCTGGGAGCTCTCACGAGTGTTCTCGATGCGTCCTCCAGCACCTCCGAGGCAGCTCCGCAGAACCAGTCTGCCATGCTCATGAACGTTGGAGTGCCAGCCATTGCCATGATGGCTGAGCTGGGGGCCACTGTCCTGGTGAGGAAAGTGAACGGCGAGGCCTCCACAGTCCTGGAGGCACACGGACTCAGGCTTTCTGTGCGCAAGGCTGAGATGTGGGACATGGAATCTGGTGATCAGGCCAACGTAGACTGCACAGCCTGCCTGATGCACTCCCCTGTCAGCAATACAACCACCCCCTGGCTGGGCCCCAATGCCGTTGTGTCAACAATGCTGCTTGAGTTTGAGACGAGTCCCCTGCCGAGCTTTGGACCTGACACCAACTTTGGCTCCTCGGTCATAGCCTTCGCTGTGACGGCTGTGGACACCGATTTGAAAACAGTGGAGCTGCATACAAAGTCGGTAGACCTGGTGGTGCGTCGCAGACAGGTGGGGGACAAGGCCCTGCCAGTTCACTTCTACCCAGACGAGAATGCGAGGACGGGTTCTTCTGCGGAGTTTGTCTTCAATGTGAACATGATGAGCGTTGGTAGGGGAACACTCACTTTTCTCAAGTTTAGCATCAGGGATAGTGGGCTCTCCATCAGCCTCATGGTCAACATCAACGCCGTGGCCTCACGTGATGTGCATGCAATTTTGGATGATATTCCCTTCCCCAAGTGTCAAGGATCGGCAATGGCAGCTGAGTGCAGTCGAGACAGCCTCTTGCCTTCCAAGCCTTGGCTCCTGTCACACAGGACGGCCAACCCGCACCTAATAAAACTGCCCACGTGGATCTTGCAAAATGCCAGTGGCTCAGATAGTATGGGTAAAGCTGTGGCAACCTCTTACAGGATATTTGTGCGCTTAGAGCCGACGCAGCAGGTGGAGAACCCTGGGAACCTTGGCGTCAACGTGACGCTCTTCCAGGCCAGTTGCCTGGACTACCAGAGTGATGCCAGGGTTTGGGATGAGTTAGCCTGCAAGCTGGGACCCCTCACCACGGGCGACAAACTGCACTGCCAGTGTGGGCCCAGCCATGGAGGCTTTGCTCGCATCGCTTTGGGGCTTATGCTACGCACCATGGCCACTCGCCTCTTCATCATCCCAGAAGTGATAGACCTGCGCAAAATCTTGGTGCTCATCAGGTCAGTAGCACACAACTTCATCATAGTACTCACCATGAGTGCCGTCCTCGTGTTTTTTGGGTTCACATTTTGCTGGGTGCGTCGGAAGCAACGCTGTGAGGACCAGAGGCATTTGGCAGACTCCAGTGGTATCCGGTCAATATTCGTCAACCTCGATGACAAGGAGGAGAGTGACTCCTTTTTCTACATCCTCACCGTCTTCACAGGCAGCCGTCCCACCTCGGGTACCACATCGGACGTCTACCTCATGCTTGTGGGCTCCAACGGATGCAGCAAAACACACCATGTTTCAGCGCATGGTCGGAGTCTGATGAAAACCGCTTCCGTTGATGTCCTTCTCTTCACAGCAAAGCAGGATCTAGGCGAGCTGTGCTACTTGCGGGCCTGGGTCATCCATCAGGGAAACAGCCCCAGCTGGTACCTAAGTCGCGTCAAGGTCGAGTACCCTCTCAGTGGACGCTGCTGGTTCTTTCTGTGCCGGAGATGGCTATCTGGGAGCGACTTAGATCATATTTTCCCGGTTTCGGATTTGGGTGACTCTGCCAGTTTTTGGACAGTATTGAGCATCCAGTTTGCTGTGAAGATGTGCGAAGACCACCTGTGGCTGTCTGTCTTCCATCCGACGCCCATTGGGAAGTCGTTCACACGAACAAAGCGATTGGGTTGCTGTGTGTGCTTGCAGCTGTTCGACATGCTCACGTCCATTATGCTGTTCCGCTTATCGCAGCAGGCACTGCAGAACGCCCACTCCCTGGTTTTCCGTTTGTTGCAATCTCTCACCATCGTAGTGGAGAGTGCCCTCATTGGCATCCCCTTGCAGTTAATTGTTGTGAAGGCATTCCACAATGGAGATGTTGAAGCTGCAGCTGCTGCCACTGCTTGCTCTTGCACTACATTCTGCCTGCCCCTCCAGCCACAACATTCGATTCGCTTGATCAGACAACAGCCAGAATTGTCGAGCTCCTCACGGGCCCAAAAGTGGAAGGAAAGGCTGCGGCATGGCTGCTTCTCGGAGAGCAAACAAAATTATTACATCGCTCCTCAGACTTCTAGCGGCATCCTTTCCCACCACCTAAGAAATGCACGCGGCACTTCTCAACTTAGTTTACCAAATGGGCCGAGGCTGAAGGGCTGCGTCCTGCCAGAAGCCTACTTCGACAAGATCCTTGGCGGCATTGAGGTGTTTGAGGAGAGCACTATTCCTAGGGGCATCAACTTTCATGTCCACCAAACTAGCACCACTGATGCCACACTCAACGTGGTGGATACTTCTTCACATGCAGCCTCCAACAATGCTGCTATAATTGTGAATTCTAACGTGGATCAATTCGAAGTCGACAAAGAGGCAGACAACAATAACGACAACGCATCTGACGAAAAAGCAGATGATGACATAGAATATGACAACTATAGCACCAAAGAGGTGGAGTTTTACCGGCCACTCAGTCCAAAGTGCCGTGCTGTACTCTCGTGCTTGCGTGCATTTTTGGGCTGGGTAGTTGTTAGCACTGTGAGCTTCATTTCCATCTTCTTCATTATCCTCTACGGCTTTCAGTACGGCCAGGTCATCTCCCTGCGTTGGCTGTTTGCTACCATTTACTCCATACTGCAGTCCGTGGCACTGGTGCAACCGGCACGCGTACTTTTGTTCACCGCCATCCATGCCTACCGCCGGCGGACCTGCGGTGACCTCAACTGGGGCCCCACCACCACGACATCAGACTGTAAGATAGCCCAGCGCATCTTTGACAATGGTCAATAGTGGTGATCATGATGACCATGAGAGGAAAGATGGCTCCCGCAGCCGGAACTGCCAGCCATCTTCAGATGCCGTCCACGCTGTGCTGTAGAGGCGGGCCACATGGCACCGGCGAGACGTGGCCTTTGCCGCGTGGGCACTCGCAAAACGATGCAGCATCCTTTCCTACCACCTAAGCAACACACGTGGCACTTTTCCGCTTAGTTTAGCAAATGGGCCGAGGCTGATGAGCTGCGTCCTGTCAGAAGCCAACTTTGACATGTTCTTTAGCGGCATTGAAGTGTGTGAGGAGAGCACTATTCCTCGGGGCCTGAACGTTGATGTCTGGAAAACTAGCACCACTAATGCCACACTTAACGTGGTGGATACTTCTTCACATGCAGCCTCCGACAATGCTGCTATAATCGTGAATTCAAACGTGGATCAATTAGAAGTCGACAAAGAGGCAGACAACAATAAGGACTACAATCCACCTGTGTGGGAGAGTGAGGCAACTTGTCTCACTCTGCCAGGACTTCAGCTGCAGGTTACCTGTGGTTTGAGTTCAACAACTCAACTGGCTGTGAGAGTGATGCAATGTGTCTCACCCTGCCAGGAGTTAAGTGTCTGCTTACCTGTAGTTTGAGTTCAATAATCCATTTATACTGGAGAGTGGAGTAACGTGTTTCAGTGTTGTCATGGGTTGTTAGTTAATATTTTTGGGTCTTTCGGTAAAGTTACGTAGATAGGTTCAAAGAAAATAACAAAAAATAACAAACAACTACGACTTTCGATCGCAACACAAGCAATCGTCATCAGGAGAAAAAAAAACGTTGTAGTTTTTTGTTATTTTTTGTTATTTTCTTTGAACCTATCTACATGACTTTATCGAAAGACCCAAGAATATGAATTCCTGCAGTCACGGAAGCTTTAAGTCAAGATTGTTAGTTAATATTTATTCTGTAAATAAATAAGTGGTTCTAAAGACTGAATTTTTTTTTGTCCGAGCGTGTGATATTTGCTTGGGTGCAGTGAGCTAAGAGTCTCGGGCCGACCCTCAGAATACCCTTATAAATATCATTGTTATTAGTATGAAAAGATATACAAATATCTTTTCATACTAATAACATTGATAGTGGGGAAAATTATAATTGATAATTTCATGGTTGTTTGAGTATGTATGTATTTTGGTTAAGAAAACTTGGTTTGAGTATGTTTGTGTTTCGGAAGGAAAACGGCGAGACATGGCTGAAAAATAACACTGTCCTGGCAAAATCTTTTTTTAAGGATTTCTCCAGAAACCTACACCATTCATTTATTTTTGTCGAGCCGCGTTTAGAGCTATATATAACTTGTTATTTGCACATCTAGAACCTACTGCAGATTTCCCAAAATTAAAGTTAGGGTTAGGGCTGTACCCAGGGGCGGTTTCTTCATTAGGGCGATTGGGCGACGCACCACCAATGTCATTCAACCACAGAGTCACGCTAGCCGTCACTGTCAGCCTCTGGATATAGTCCAATCAGCGTCATGTCACGTTCTGTGGAGTACCGCCTCTTTTGGGGCGATTTCACTACGGCTGAGAATCGCCCCGAGTGGTCCCATAGACTTACATTGAAAGATGTTTTTTTTCGAACGGGGGCGCTCCAATGCATTATCTATGGGTTCCGGGAGGGCAAGCCCAAACGTGGTTACGTCATCATACGTGCTTACGTCATCATACGTGCTAACGTCATCATACGTAAGCACGTTTCATCCAACAATATAATTTATCGCTACCTAGTGGAATCTTTAATAAAATAAACTTGAGTGGTTTGTTTTAATAGTGAGTATATAAACAAACAAGATGTATTGTAAGAGTCACTTTATTTTTCATTAATATTAAAGAAGTGAAGTTGCCTTTACATGCTTAAGCTGTTAATTTATTCATTGCATCGGTGGACCTTATCCTTATCAATCATCCAGACATTTGCCCCCCCTGAGAGATTTTGCAGGAGCCGCCACTGGCTGTACCCCCTTTCCAGGTGTCCGTATGATATAAGCCATACCTCGATTTCACTCAACGCAGTGAGCTGAATGCAGCGCCATATATCTACCCTTTCTGGAATGTTCTTAACTGGAGAGACAATCACAACCCCGTTCACATCTCCCATTGACACTCCATGCAATTTATATCTCATCATCTAGGCATCCGAGATACATGTGTAGTGTTTTTATTTCACATGGACAACTTCATTTTCTCGTGTCACTTTTTATTGAACAAAGAACTCTTCGCGTTCAACACCCCGTAATTCCGTCGCAACACTCCCGCTTGCGCTGCTCGCCTGCTTTGCTCCGTTCACTTCGCTCGCTCGCTCCGCTCTTTCTCAGACTCTCCACTGCTGCCTTCTCTCTCTCTTCTAGCCTCTTCACTACTAGCCTGTTCTCTCTCTCTCTCACACTCCTAGCCTCTCCACTGCTCGCCTGTTCTCTCTCTCACTCTCCTAGCCTCTCCAATGTTAGCCTGTTCTCTCTCTAACTGTCATAGCCTCTTCACTGCTAGCCTGTTCTCTCTCTCTCACTCTCCTTTTTTTACGATCAGTGGAAACAAGAAGATGCTCGGTGTATTCGGCACTTTGTTTCGTTCATCATTTCGTAATAAAAAAAAAAATTAAACTTGGCTTTATGTAACCCCCCCCCCCCCCCTCTAGCTCACTCTCTCGCTCACTCTCTCTCTCGCTCATTCTCTCGCTCTCTCTCGTTCTGCACGTAGCCCCCCTCGCAGTCCGACGGCCTCCGACGGGTAACATACGTGTGTATATACAGGTGTGTGCAATGCAGTCTGTCTCTTTGAACACTCTCGCATTCCTCAATGAAAAACAGTCCTCCATGAGCGGGATCCCACCGCCGGTCCGTGACCACGAACCGGGTCCCACACAGCCAGAGTAAAAGACGGCTCAATGCACGCTAGAGAGCCGTGTCTCCCAATGAACCGTAAGCTTCTTGTGGGTCCTGGTCGTGCCAAAACCAGCAACCCGGCTGCAGCTGGTCCTCCAACTCGGACTTCAATGGCTGGCTGGTCGGCTCGCCCTGCCTTAGTCGGAGCGATCCTGTGGGCGAAGGGGAACCAGACTCCTGAGGTGTGTCCACTCGGGGTGGCGTGATAGGCTCGTAGGACGCAGGCCGTTTCTGGATGGGAGATGACGCATTGTAAATCGACGGCTCAAACTTTTTCAGCCATGATGGGTGCATAAACCACCGGCGTTGACCGAATTGAATACGGACGCACTGGGGTCAACGAACACCAACAACCTGCACCGGCCCTTGCAACGGGCGACGTAGTTTTGGTGACGTGCCCACCGGTACCATGGGGCAATGGAGTCATGCCTTGTCACCTTCTCGCCATGGTTCGCTTGGAGGTTGCGTACCTCGCAAGCGCTCGTTAGCCGCCTGATGCTTGCCGAATTGCATATGGAGGCCTCACGAGCCTCCCTCAAACGCTCAAGGGTCACCTGCATGGGGACCGGCACGGCCGACGCCTGCATGAGTCGGGCAGCTGCGGCAGGCGCAACAACGCATCTCTAACGTGGTGGGTCCCCTTCCTATACTGCACAGTAAAGGAGTACCCTTGCAAAATTTCCATCCAACGGGCCATTTGGCTGCAGAGGGTACTGAAGCGCAGCATGGAAGTCCCTGCCATACAAATACGGACGATACAACTGCATAAAGTGGACCGTGGCCAGCAGCTCCCTGCGTGTAACACAATACCTCTGCTCAGCAGGGGACAAAACACGGCTGCTGTACACCACCACTCTTTCCACTCCGTCGACTACCTGGGACAAAATAACGCCTATGCCCATATCACTAGCGTCAGTGTCGAAGATGGACGTCTTAGAGAAATCCAGATAAACAAGCGGCGGTGCATCGAACTTTTGCCCTTTAGCAGTTAACTCGTGGGGCAGGTTCGCGATTGTTGCGAAGTTCTTAACAAACCAGCGGTAGTACGAGGCAAAGCCCACAAAGCTGCGGACCTCTGACACACTGATTTGGGGGTTGACCACGTGCGCACGCAGCTTGTCTTCTTCAGATCAGTAGCGACTCCCGATGCGCTAACTACATGACCCAAATACTTCACTGACGTCTGTAAAAAATTACATTTTTGTGGTTTGAATTTCAATTTAGCGTCCTGCACCCGGAAGAAAACAGAGCATACAGCTCCAAGTGCTCATTGAAATTTCGCCCGAAAACAATGACATCCAAATAAATAAAGCACGATTCCCATTGCAATCCCGACTAAACCAATGCCATAAGGTGCTGGAAGGTGGCCGGCGCAGAGTGAAGTCCCATTGGAAGGACATTGAAGTGATACAACCCCTGTGGAATGCGAAAAGCTGTCTTTGGTTTCGACTCCTCATCCAAAGGCAATTGTCAAAATCCCAACAAAAGATCGAGGGTCGAGGCGTCCAAAGAATCGTCTCTTCATGTCGACACCGCTCCACTCTCATTCCGCGCGTTAGATGTTATTGCTCCGCGCACGGCTCGCTCACGCTCCCCACTGCTGCGCGCCACTGGCAGATGGCCCCGCCTATAGCCACGCCCCCTCACGAACCTTCCCGATGGTTACCCACAAGAACCCTTGAGCTCCGCCCTTGAACTTTGGCCCAATCAATCGCATCCAACTAATTGGCTAATGGCTGAAGCGGCGGAGCCTATTCCACCTAACGGCGACCGTCGGTGAACTCTCGTATTGCATCACCCCCCACCTGGTGTAAAAAGCTAGCCATCCCGGCTAGGAACGAGGCAACGCACAATACGAGAGCCAACGAGAATGAAGAACTTAGCAGCAACAACAAACAGGTCCATGCGGGGTGGGCTGGTAGGAACGAACAAATGAATGGCTATAATAAAATGAAATGGCGGGGGTACGATACGAAGGGAGAGTTTGAGGCCTAGTTCTAGGCTTTAGGCCTAGCTGTAGGCTTTAGGCCGCTGTGAGTAAATTTTTTATTTAAATGTTTTAATTAAAAACTATCTCAGGGAATTATAAGGGAATGTTACACTTGTTTAGCCAGAAAAGCCTCACTGAGTCTAAAGGTTTTTGTAGGGTCCTGCCAAGTGTTTGCAGTAGGGGGCGATGTTGCTACACCTAATCGGACATCGGACGGACGGACGATATAATCTATTGTAGGCTGGTTCACTTCATTCCTACCAGTATAATAAGATGCATAGCAAACACACTACGCAAGGCGAGTAAGAATAATCATAACATAATAATAGGATGCATAATGAACGCACTACGCAAGGTAAGTAAGAATAACAATCAATGAAAGGGAACAGATTTTGAATGTGTACGTGACGCCGGCCCATCCCCTGCAGCAGCACGAGGCCCCGCCGGATCCAACGCAGCAGGAGGCGGAAGAGTGGAATGTTCAACGTCCGTCGCAGTGGAGGAAGGCCCGGCCGGAGCGGGGTTGCCGGCAGCAGCCGGGGCATTCAGGACCTGTGAGTTTGTGGGAGACAAAAACAGGCCCCTTTTGGGGATCAACCGGCAACCGAGGTGGCATATCGGACGCATCAGACCCCAGCAGGGCAGGCAATGGGGATGAAGGATCAACATGCGGAGCAAAGAAGCGCTTCAACTGAGACGTGTGGACGTACCAACAGCGCGAACCCGCCCGGATACGTACACATTGAGGGTTTCGTATTTCTATCAAGTCGACAGGCCCTTGCCATGGCCTGTGCAGTTTGGGAGAAGTACCCACCGGCACCTGGGGACAATGGAGCCAGGCCCGGTCGCCCACAGCCCATGGCATGTCACGTCGCGATCGACGAGCGCATCGCTTGTTACGGGCCTGGGTCTTGGCCATGGCAATCCTTGCTGCCTTGCGTGCTTCTGTGAAACAGCGAACCGAATCGTGGACATGTTCCGGGAGGGTCAGCGCGGGCTCCTTAGTGGACGCTCCCAGTTGTACGCCAATCGGCACGTTCTCCCGACCGTACATGAGGAAGAACATTGAGTAACCCGTAAAAGCATGCGGGGCCATACGGTTGGCGGACAATACGCTAGGAATGTGAAGGTCCCAATCGGCCTGCTTTTCACTCACTGTGTGACAAAGCATGGCAGATAAGGTACGGTTCAATCGTTTTACCATTCCATCCGTCTGCGGATGGTAAGGTGAAGTGCATATCTTTTTGGTGCCCAAGGCATCACACACATCATGCAGCAACTTGGATGAGAAATTTCGGCCCTGGTCCGTGAGCAGCCATTCCAGCGCACCTTTGTCCATCACATAACCATTCAAAAATGCATCCGTGATGGATGATGCTAATTGATCAGGCAGGGGCCAAGCCATTGGCCAACACGAAAAATATCCCACTCCCACTAACACGAATTTGTTACCTCTGGCGGAAGGAGGAAACGGCCCGAGGATATTGAGAGCCACGAGTTCATTAATGCGCGTAACCTTAATCGATTTCAAGGGTGGAATATATTTCTTGCGCGGAGGTTTCTGTCGAGCGCATTCGGGGCATGCCTGAATAGCCTCGGCAACATCGGCCGTCATGTCGGGCCAAAAATAATCCCTTTGCATCGTAAGGTTTTTTGCACGGTAGTGGGTACTTGCAGAAGATATGGGCTGCAGCCTGAACGGTGTCACGCTTTGTAGGTTTGTGGATATGAGGCATCTGAATATGTTGTAGGTCCAATTTTGTTTCCATAGCAGTTGCTTTTGCGAACAAGACATCAAAGTGCTCCTCCGTTCGCTTGTCCTGCATACTTGTTTTGACGTGGTCCACAGCCTACATCATGCCTGAAACAGTTTCCTAAGCTGCAGGGAGGTGTTCAGGCACTCAAAATCTCCCATCAGGTCTTCAGCCATTACAAGGCTGAGCACAGTGTTCCCTTTTAGAAATGTT